CTATGCCCTGGAGCCTTAGAGGAGATCTGCAATGACAACATGAAGGCTCCACTGACAATATGCTGTAATTACAATAATGATTTATAAATCAACACCAAGAAGTACTCTAGAATGGCTGGTTAGGGACACACATAGGCATCCCTGGTGAGCACAGAACAATAGGAGGAAAAGCCTGCTCTCCCAGATAACAAGTTCAGACCCTCCCCTTTGGAAATATCACTTGGAAATGTCTGCCCTAATAGCAATGACTTATTGTTAACAAGCACCCTGAGAAGAAAAGAAGAAAAACCTGAAAACCCAGGTCCCCAGAGAAGTGAGCTAGGCCCCTGAGTTAGTAAGGGCTCAGGTGTGCGAAACATGGGGCAGGGAACTGAGGGAAAGGGGAAGGAAGAAGAAGCCCATACCAGGCTCATGTGTGCAGAGAGAAGAGACTCAGGCATGCTCAGCCTGGGCCATGGAGCCCCAGCTTCTTTCAGGAAGTACAGGGCTCCTGTGGCTTTGGGGCCCCACCTCCTCAGGACTGAGGCCCCAAACTTCAGGGAGCGTTTAAACAGGAGTAATGAGCTCCCCAGGGTTCTGGATATGCCATCAGTATCGTGTGCAGCTCCTCCAAAGCAAGGCCACATCATCTTCTCCTGCAAACTCTTCCTCCTCCTGACTTCCCTGTATCTGCTAAAGGGACCGACCTCATCACCCTGAAATGTCCAACCCCAGCCAATCAAGTGTCTGTTCCACAAGATGATATCTACTTTCACAATTTCTCTAGAATCAGTCTCTTCTTTTCCATTCTTACTGCCAAATTTCGAGCTTTTATTATGTCTCACCTAAACCTTATCTACTTAGTTTTCCATTTCCTCTCTCCCTTCTTTTCTTGTCCCCTTATAACCCACTATACCCTGCTGCCAGTCTGCCCCCTGCCTACTCAGTAACTTGTCAGAAATAAGTGCTCCATGTGCTGCCTACCAATCTATGTCCTCACCTAGTGGCTTTCTGGACTGATCTCCTGTAGTGTCCATTTCTTCTTCTTCCGGGGACTTAACTTTTGGACACAGTGTGGGGGTGGGGGGAACTGCCTACCCTCCCCGCCCGGCTGGACCAATCATTTCCTCCCTGGGATGTGCATCCCAAGTTATGGTAACAAAATTACTGACTATGGCTGCAGCAGATTTATCCTGGCAACGGTGGTACCTTGAAATCAGCTGGCCTTTGTTTCCTGCTGTGTCCACTCTGAGACTCTGGAAGGGACACGGGTGTTGAGTCATCTCTCTGATTCCAGGAGTCCCTACAATCTTCTAAGGAAAATCTTTCCTGCCAAAGTCAGCCAAGTTGTTATTGTAACCAAACAGGATAGTCTTAGCGCTTTTTGACATACATTTCCTACGTCCCAGCCAAAACGGAAAACTCCCTATATATAAGTGCCATGATAGCCTCCCCCTGGACCTGTTGGCCTGCACACCAGCCCAGAGGCACTGGTGAAGCTCTACCTGCCCCTTCGGGGCTCATCCTCTGAACCCTCTACGGGGATAGCTTCTGCTTCCTGTAAACGAACAAGCCACTAGCTGCCCCTCTGCCTTCCATGGTAGACACTGGTGTACTTGGCTTAGCCCCTCCCAGAGGACAGTGACTTGGTGCTTATCCCCTCCACAACACCCAGCAGAGTTCCAGATTCAGTAAAATTCACCAGACTGTGGGGGGCAGATGACCCAAAGGACAATTAGAGGCTTACCGGGCAAAACAGACATCGAGTGACCAAGAATGTGGAGCATGCCACCACAAAGACCTCAGTTTGAATTCCAGATCCTCCACTTACGAGCTGTCTGAGTTTGGGCAAGGCTCATAAGTTCTGTAAGTCTCAGTTCTTCATCTATGAAGTAGTGGCAATGATACCAAACTTGCAATGTTGCTGTGAGGATTTGATGAGCTAACGTGTGAGAGCATCTAGCACAGTGCCTGGCCAGTAGCTAAGCACACAGGAAACTCCAGCCATTATTCCAGCTATCAGTAGCTGGTTTAGTGGAGCTCTATCGGAGGGCTGGAGTCAGGAGTCCTAGGGCTTGTGGGGTGACCCATAGTGCATCTCTCTGTTCCTCTGTAACCCCACCTGGATCTGGATCGGCCTTATAAACCTCCTGAAAAACAACAGGAGGAAAATGCTTCACAAAGTAAAAGCACAATGTAATGGATTCCTTTTTTCCAAATTTCAGAGATTATCACGTGTCCTGTCAGGTGCATGGCCATGACAGTGCTTCACCTTGCAGATACTCCAACCTGCTCAGCCTGAGAGACAGAGTCATAGAAAGTGTGGTATGGTTCAGCGTCTGCCTTCCCATGTCCACACAGCCATCCCTTTTCCAAAGCTTTAGTTCCTAAATGTCCTGCTTTTGTGGGGCCTTTCTTCAAATAACCATGGAGTGGTATCCGCTCCGTGGTTATAGTGGGACAGGGAGCGCAGTACCGCAAGTCACCCCTGCCATTAACCTAGCCAACACTAGGCAGCAGGAGAACAAAAGGAAAGGCTAACCCAGTGCAGCAGCCAGAACAGCCTGGGTTGGGAAGCAAAGTGGAAGGAAGTCCCTCTTAAGACTTGCATCTGCCTGGATTAATCTCCCAAGCAACTATAATAGCCCAAACCAGTGATTCTCAAAGTGTTATCCCTAAGGAGCTGAGCAGAAATGCAAATTCTAGACCCCACCCAGAGTGACTGAATCAGAAAACTCTGGGAGTGGGGCCCAGCAATCTGTGCCTTAAAAAGTTCTCTAGAGGATTCTGATGTCTGCTCCACTACAATAAGGAATCTTGCCCTAAACCTTTAACCACATGACCCTCTGTTTTAACTCAAAGATTTATAGAACACACATTTGAAGACCTTGCACAGTCTAATGGGGGCCCAAATCAAATACACAAGGCAGGATGTGGCATAAAAGAAGTAAAAGGAATCACTTTCCACCCCTCTTCCCAGACTCCTACCCCTCAAACCTTCTCTTGCCATGAATGGGGAAAAGAGAAGTTCTGGAAACCCATCCCCAATGCTGCTATTTTGGACATCTCAATCACAGGTAGTTTCTCAAGAAGAGTAATCCTCACCTGAGGCATGTCTCAGGTCCAGAAGCTTGGCATGTGGGGAAATGCTCCCACAAAGCATGGCCATGGCCACTGGTTCTTAGGGGTCTGGAAATTGGCCCTACTGGGGGGTTTGGGCTCAGAAAGTTCCTAGAGGGCCATGAACAAGCCACAGCACATCACAACAATGCATTCCTGGGAAGGGTCATTCCCACAGGCCCCTGGCAAGCTTGCACACAAGTGTGCAGATGCAGACATAAACACACACACAGACAGTTGGCCCCCTGGCCTCCCTTTCTCTAATCTCAAGTTACAAGGTTAAAGGCGTCCTATTCACAGCCAAGGGGGAGGGATTAAAGAGGGGGTGCTGAAGCATCCAACCATCTGGTTCAGATCAAGATTGCTCATTCAGGACCCCAGCAAAGTCCCAGAGCCTTCTGAGCCTTCCTGATGGCTCCAAGATTTCCCTTCCTCCCCCTACTTGCCTCCCTCCTCCTACTTTCCAGAGGACTGGGCTGGAAAGGGGCGACCCAAAGGCAAATTTGCCAAAGGAAAACTAGAAAACAAAAAGCTAAATCAGGCAAGTCTGTGCCACCTCTCTGAGCCCTAGTTCCCTCTTCCCTTCAGATCCTGAACACCAAGACTAAACTTGAGATCACCGCCTACAAGAGACACTGTGCTTTCCTCCACAATGAGCTCGGGGCATCTAGTAGGCATCCTTCCTTGACCTGGCACCCCCCTCCAAAGTTAGCAGCAGAATCAAGATAAGTTTTAGGGGTGTGGTCTCCTGGACTCTTCTTATGCCACCAAGGTAAGAGGTTCCCTCCATCTCAAAGGGACTTCAGAGCCCACCAGGCATAATAAGAGGGAAGGATGACCCACCAGCTTCTAGACAACTGTCCCAAAGATAAGATGGGAGTGTGAGTTACTGGCTAGAAACGACTGTTTCGCAGAGGCCCCAAAATGCCCTGAACCCCCATCAGCAGCTTTGGCTGGAAGAGGCTGCCAGTCCTTTTCTGCCACCCCCCTAATACATTAGACTCTGTTCTTCAGTGCTCTACGCAGCTGTAAAGCAAGAGGCAAGATGGGAGATGGATGCAGTTGGCAAGAAACAGAAATGGAAAGGCTAACTTGAACAAACAAGCAATTGGGTGGGTGACTCTCTACAAGCAGAGAGGGCTTGAAGTGGGCTGTGGGAAGGAGAAGGGGGTTAACAGAAGGGGTAGAAAGCTAAAGGAGAACCTAAAGTGAGCTTAGCCCAGAGCTGCAGCAGGGGGCTGGGAAGTTTGGTCCAGTTAGAGAGGAAAAAAAAAATGACTTCCATTTCAAGGCATGGGCTCAGGCCAGCCCCCGAAGGACTGGAGCATGGTCTTGGCCAAGTTCCTGGTTTATGTCATGCCTCAGTTTCTCCAAAGTGGGAAGGAGGTCAAGCTGTTAGGTCTTATGGGAGAGAACTGGGACATTAGGGGTGGCTAGGGGGCAGTGCCAAGTAGGGGAAAGAGGAGCGAGGTGCTGATGATGCAAAGACAGCCTGTGGCTAAGAGGAGCGGGGCTGGGGTCTCCAGGTAGCGCAGAGGCCGGGAGCGCACGGTGGGGTTAGGGGTACGAAGAAGCCAGTGGACAGTTAAGTCAGGACTGGGGCAGGGAGCTCCTCCTAGAGCTGAGGCTGGGGGCTGCCACCAAAGAGTGGAACAGTCACGCCTCAAGGGCTGGGAGCGGCTTGAGGTGCAGAAGCAGAAGGCGGGGATGGGGACTGAGGCCAAGACAAGCGGACCCCCGTCCCCATGGGGGAACCCAGACACCGACCCTGGGGAAGTTGCCGGGGTGTACCGGGCCGGTCTGGGCCGCTGGGCCAAGCCAGATGCCCGCGCGGAAGGGGTTCGGGCAGCAAGGGGCCCGGGGCGCCCCGCATCCCGCCCGCCCTCATCCCACCCGCGCACCTCAGTCAGCGCCGGGCGCAGCGCGGGCCATGCTCGCCGCTCCTGCCGCCGCCTCCGCCCGTGCAGAAAGCCGCCGCCGCTGGCGGCGTCCGGACCCGTTAGCTCCGCGGCTCCCTCGTCTGTCCGCAGCGGGCCAGTCCCGCCCTTGCCGGCTCTGCCCTCCCGGAGCGAGCCGCCGCCGCCGCCTCAGTCCGGCCCCTCCCCCCACCCCAGCCCGGCTTGAAGGGAAGGGTGGGGGAAGGGGGCAGCTGCCCCCTCCCCACTCACATCCTCCCAGTCTCTCCCCTCCGTCCTCCACCCGCACGGGCGTCGGCATGCTGGGATATGGAGTGCAGCCGGTGCTGGGCCGCTAGGGGTGCCCCACATCCAGGACTACAGCTCCTAGAAGACAGCGCGCGAGCCCTAGGGATTGTGGGCTTTGTAGTTCGGCCGGAACCCGGCGGGGGGGCGTCTACCGCGTAGGAGGTGGGTCAGGGGGGATGGGAAATCTCCATTCCCAGAAGGCTGGGCTCCCAGCGTTTGAAACGGAGGATGTGGGTTGTGCGGTGCCTCGCGCCTAGATTGAATACCTGGATCCCCAGAGAGGTGCAGACTGTAGCCCAGGATGCCTCTCAGACGCGGCTGTGGCCAGCTGCGGCCGAACCCGGCTGAAAGGGAAGCCTCCGGGCCCCCGAACAGCGCCTCGGGTACCGTTCCCATTTGCGCTCCCAAGGGGCCATGACCTGAGACCAGCTTGACTTCGTGTCCGGGCTCTGCAAGCCGGAGCTGCGGTGGGGCCTCTGCGCCCAGGCGGGAGGAGAAGGGACTCCCGGAGCTGCGTGGGCGTGGGGTTTTCCCCACCCTGGAAAAGGGAGCCGAGTGACTCCGGGTTTCCCGGAGCGCTCACCCAATGGGGCACCTCATCCCAGTCGTACTCTTTTTTGTCAGATGCTCTCAGCTCCCTACTGTTTAGGATAAGGTGCACACATTTTAAGATTTTTCCATGTCTTCTCTTGTCAAGTCCTCTCCCCAACTTCCAAACCTAACTCCGATCCTTCATGAAGTTCCAGGTCGACTGCAGTTTCCTCTTTAAGCGTCACCTCCTCTGACAGAGCAGAAGCCTGTAGGTCCGTGGTTCTCAAACTTTGGTGTGTATTAGATTCTCCCGGGGAGCTTGTTCAAATGCAGGGGGCTCCTACTCGCAGTTTCTGTTGCAGTAACTCTAGGGTGGACCTGGGAATTTGTATTTCTAACAACGTCCCAGGTGATGCTCATGCTGCTGTGTTGGGGAACCACTTTGAGAACCGCTACAGTTGGTGTTTGCTAGACTTCTGGCATTGTCCTTCAAAGACGGACCTGCTGTGGAATATTGGCCTCTGAAGAGCCAGGCCATAGAAAGGCAGAGTCCTAGTGTAGTTTAGCATAAGGATGCTCTTTTATAATTGTAGTAAATAAGCATATCAGTTCATCCAGTAAAGAAAAATACAGTATGGGCCATCTGACTGAAAGGTGTTCCAGACTTTAGCCCTTGTCATTCACTCTAAAGCTGGGAAGGTTTTCCGTTGCCAAGGTGGCAGCTGAGGTACACCTGGTGCTCACTCTCCCTTCTCTTCCCCCATGGATGTAAGCCAACGGATGTGATCTCAAACCCAGAGGACATTGTAGAATCCACAGCCTCTGGGTGGGCTATGACCTGAAACAGGCAGGGGGGAGGGGAGTGAGAGGTGGGGAGGTGGGTTCCTGAGTCTCAGGTAGACTCTCCTTACCACCTGCTGTCCTGCGGTTCTGGGAACTACAAACATCTGAAGACAAAACTTGGGGTCCATCTCCTTCAGACACGACCCTAGACTCTTCCAGCTGTTAGGTGACAATGATTTCCTGCTTGATCAAACTTTGGCCAGGCTCCTCTGAGCTTTCTTTTCCTATAGGCCTCAACCTTGGCCTATAAAAACTATACTCTCTCAACATAAATTATTTCATTCATCCTTCTTCCTCTCCGTTAAAGACTTAAACACAATAACATAGTTTCTAACAGCTCAAAGCCACATCTCTAGGATGACCCTAGCCCATTTATTTATTTATTTATTTTTTAAATATGTATATTTTTAAATTTATTTCTAGGAGAGAGAGAGAGAGCGTGTGCAGGGGAGGGTCAGAGAGAGAGGGAGTCACAGACTGAAACAGGCTCCAGGCTCTGAGCTGGCAGTCAGCACAGAGCCCGACACGGGGCCCGAACCCACGAACCGCGAGATCATGACCTAAGCGAAAGTCGGACGCTCAACCAACTAAGCCACCCAGGCGCCCTGACCCTAGCCCCTTTAAAGTGCCTGCCAGAGAAAGCTCAAGGCTACTGAGAGAATTTACTGTTTGTTCTAGCCAATACCTGGTGGTAGGTGACTATTCCTACTTAAACATTTACTAAATAGGACTTGCAACTGTGATTCCTTCCTCTGTTCCTTTGAGATGTGTATGTATTTCCTAGAGTTCTGGTGTGCCTTTCCCAAAGACCTGAAAGCCATTCCTCTGAAATGTAATCATCAGGAAGGATAAGGCCTCTGTCTCCCAGTCTTTGTGGGAGGATAGAATCCTAACTTCTATATAATTGTCAGCCAACAGACACAGCTGGCCTAAGCATTTACACTGACCAACCCTTTGTTTTTTTTCACTTCCCTGACTCTACTGAGCCCTTGCTCACCTCCCTCTATACTCCCTCATTCTCTCTAAAATGCCCAGTCACCTTTACAAATACAAATTGAGTTCCTTTCACACTGGACCTTCTTCCTTTTTGCAGTAGTATATTCCCGGTTGAAATCTGTCCTTACCACTTTAACTAGTGTCTGGCTTTATTTATCTTTGACAAAGGGGGTTTGTACTCAGTCCTCAGGGCCCAGGCTCCAGCATTCCGCCTATGCACCAAGAGCCAAAGGGTGAGTTATTCCTGGGTCCTTGGGTAAATAGCCAAGTAGTTACCAGAGGCATTGGACCTTGACTAAAGTTAATTCTGGAATGCTTTCCTGTTTCCTTTAGATTTGTGTCCCCAACACAAGACTACGTAATCCATAAGCAACCTCTGCACCCCAGTCAAGTGCCATAGAAACATTCCCTTAACATGCAGAAGGTAAGTGAAAGTTTTTGTTTACATCTTTCTCCCAAATCTCTGTTAGCAGATTATTCTAGAGAATTAAGACGCTCTTTCATGGGCAGGACAGAAGGACCCTCTCTAAACTTCAGCTCCAACAGGAACTCTCATTGTTTACCTTTACCACCTCCCAATTAGATGTCAAAATGGTTCATCCATTTCCCCTTACTAGTTCTGCTTTCCCATCCTCTCCACCAATCCAAATTCTGCCTGACTGTCCAAAGTCTACCTTGAGTCTTCCTTAATCCAGAAGGTTCTCCCCAACTGCCTCAATGTAGCATTTGGATTTGAATCAGTCACTGAAAATCCTAGCTTTGCTGGTGAACTATCTATCCAGTGCAAGAGAATCAGTGAGACAGGAATTCGGGAGTTAGAATGAGGCAGATGAGAGCTCGGGGCTTTGGAGGCAGATAGCTACTAACAGCAAGGTGCGAAGAGCAGCTGGCTCCCTCACTTCCTGGGTTTCTGTTTGGGGGACAGAAGCTTAAAGTTGGACCAGTCTGGCAGCTCCCACCCTGAATGTTGTGTGTGACACAGAGCAAGTTACACAATTCTTTCATCTGTAAGATGGGAATCATAATACTTAAAAGACCTTATTTTTTAGATTTGTTGTAAAGATTGAATGAAAAATACTATGATCTTAGCTAGGAAGACTATCAAAAATAAATCGAGTTAATCTATAAATTTAATGTGATTTCAGTACATCAGGTTTTTTTTTGTCGTTTGTTAACTTTTGGAGGTGGGAGAGAGAAGGAGATACATTGGTTTTTAAAAATTTTTTCTTATGTCTTTATTTTATTTTGAGAAATAGAGAGTGAGAGGGGGAGGGGCAGAGAGAAAGGGAGACAGAAACTGAAGCAGGCTCCAGGCTCTGAGCTGTCAGCACAGAGCCAGATGCAGGGCTTGAACCCACAGACTGTGAGATCATGACTTGAGCTGAAGTCAGACACTTAACTGACTGAGCCACCCAGGTGCCCCACACTCATTTTTTAAAAATTATTTGGGGGGCACCTAATTTCAGCTCAGGTCATAATCTCATGCTTTGTGAGATCAGCCCCGTGTCCATCTCTGCACTGACAGCAGGGAGCCTGCCTGGGATTCTCTCTCTCCCTCTTTCTATGCCCATTCCCCATGTTCTCTCTCAAAATAAATAAACACACATGAAAAAAAAACCCTCACTTAATAATATATACTGAAACCATATTTATTGAATGACAATATGTCTATGATTTGCTTCAAAATAAACCAGGGTTGGGTAGAAGTATAGATACAAGGTTGACTGAATTGATCATTGTTGGAGTGGGGAGATGATCATTACTTGGGGTTCATGATAACAGTTTTTTCTATTTTTGCCTGTGTTTGAAATTTTCCATAGTAATATGGTTTAAATATCTTTTAGTCAGATCTCTACCACATACCTAGCTAAAAACCACCACCACCACCAAAAAGCAAGTTAATAAAAATGGGAGATACTTTTGCCATTTATTTATTTATTATTATTATTATTTTTTTATTCAAGGGAGTGAGGGGCAGAGGGAGAGAGAATCTCAAGTAGGCTCCATGCTCAACTCTCAGCCTGATGCAGGGCTCAATCCCACGACCCTGGGATCATAATCTGAACTGAAATCGAGAGTTGGACACTCAACTGACCAAGCCACCCAGGCGCCCCCATTTTTGTAATTTATATTAAAGAGTGAAGAGCTAATACAAATGCTTTTGTAAATCAGTAAGAAGACCAAGAAACCGCTAGGAAATGTAAAAATTATGTAAACAGTTCACAATACAAGGAAAAACAATGGTTCTGACGTAAAAAGATGCAGCTTTATTTTCTAAAGAATTGTGGTAAATTATACATTAGATTTACACCTTAACCATTTTTAAGTGTACAGCTCAGTGGCAGTAAGTATATTCACATTGTGTGCCCATCACCACCATCCATCCACAGAGCTCTTTTCATCATGCAAAACTGGAAAGTTCTATACCCATTAAACAATGACTCCTCACATTCTCCCCTCCCCCAGCTCCTGACAACCACCATTCTA